CCCCGACATCTCTCCATGCCTCCAGCCTGCTGTGGGCCAAAGGACAGCTAGATGTTAACTGCTGAAGCAGTAGTGATTCAGTGGTGTAATTCTTGCTTACCAGAGGCCTGAATTCATTTCTGGACATTGCACGTCATGCACAAGCAGCACCCACTTGTCAGTGGAGGCTTGCCTGCAACTATGGTGAACAGGTTTCAGTGGAGCTGTCAGACTGAGATGAGCTAAGGAGAAAGAGTTGAGCATCTATATCTGAAACCAATCAATCAAAGAAAACCCATGGATCACAAGTTTCATCCCCAACTGATCAGAGGGATGACAGCAACAGATTTTATTGTTGTTAGATTCTGACTCCAAGCAACTTTATGTACAAGAGAGCAAAGCCCTGTCCGTTTCTTCTGCGCCATCCTCACAGTGGTGATGTTTGAGCCCATGTTGCACCAACTGTTTCATTGCAGCTCCTCTAGGGCAGCGGTTCTCAACCTGTGAGTCATGACCCCTTTGGGGGTCAAATGACCCTTTCATGGGGATCATCTGATTCATAACAGTAGCAAAATTACAGTTGTGAAGTAGCAACGAAAATAATTTTTCAGTTGGGGGGTCACCACCACATGAACTGTATGAAAGGGTCACGGCATTGAGAAGGCTGAGAACCGCTGCTCCAGGCTTCTTCTTTTCTGATGTCCCTCCTCTTTACCGAGCAGAATGTCCTTCTCCAGGGACTGGTCTCTCCTGACAACATGCCCAAAGTCTGCGAGACAAAGTTCCACCTTCCTCAGTTCCTAGGAACATTCTGGTTATACTTCTTCCAAGACAGCTTTGTTTAGTCTCTTGGCAGTCCACAGTACTTTCAACAGTGTCCACCAGCACCATAACTCAAATGCATCGATTCTTCTTCAGTCTTCCTTATTCAGTGCCCAACTTTCACATGTATGTGAGGCAATGGAAAATACCATGGCTGTGATCAAGCCCACCTGAGTATTGTGCAGTAGATGTACTGCAACACATTGTTTACCTTCTTGACTGCTGCTTCCATGAGCATTGGTTGTGGATCCAAGCAAAATGAAATGCTTGACCCTGTTAATCCTTTCTCTGTTTAGCGTGATGTTACCTTTGAGTCCAGTTGTAGGGATTTTGGTGTTCTTTACATTGAGTTGTAACCCATATTGTACGCTGCAACCATTGACCTTCATCAACAACAGATGTTAGTTATTGCTTCATAGGAAATTTCTTCCATAAAGTATAAGACCTCTGCGAGTAAATATCTTCAAATGTACACAGGAAAGTTAAGGAAATTCTGATTGCAATATAAGTGATTTGCACAAGATCCTCCTTTTTTGTATGGAGGAATAGCAGAGGAAGCAAACACTGGACCAAGGCCCGACACTCACCTTCGGATTTAATGTTCGAGGCCCAAGATCAGCAGGCTGGGACAGGAAGCCAATTCAGGAGGGAGGTGGTGGATCACACGGTCAATCCTTTCCCACCTATAGATGTGCCGATATCAGAATGAAAGCCAATAAAGTTTTGTTCCAGTTTTCTCAATTACATCTGTCTTTTCAGGTCTTAAATCCCTTTTCTTCCCTACGATACTTTTCTTTCTTCCTCTGGTCATTTCTGTCTTCACACCCTACTTTAGCAGAAACTACCTTGGCTCCTTGTCATTCTATTTCAGAAAACCCTAGTCCCTCTTGTAAAGCGCTCTGGTAGCATAATGGGATACATATTGGGGTGCTGGGCACAAGATCAGCAGTTGAATACCACCAGCTGCTTTGAGGGAGAAAGAAGAGGCTGTCTGCTCCCATCAAGATTGACAGCCTCAGAAACCCTGAGCTGTAGATCTACTCTACCCTGTAGGGATTCTATGATTTGGGATTGACTCGATGGCAATGCATGTTGTGTCATTTTTGTTAATAGTCATATTTATATTTCAGACAAATTCCAATGTCTTGCTTAGAGCAGCTAAGGTGCCACCGCCTGTAATGCATGCCAACTAGTTAGAATGCATGCCATTGACAGGAGAGAGCCACAGTCAGCTCAAACGAATATGGACATCATGATACCTCTGAAGTTTAATGATCAATTGTGTGTTAGACCAGGTTGACTAGCGAAACAAATCCAGTGATACTCATATATGTGTTAAAAATAACTTTATATCAAGAAAACATCCCAGCCTAGTCCAACACAAGTCCATAAGTCCGACACTAGTCTATAAGTCCCTCTTCAGACTCACGAAACCACATGCAATGATGCAGAATGCAGAAAGAGCACAGGGCTGGTGTGTGCAAAGTTGTGTGGTTGGTGGAAACATGGCAGAGCCCTGGCAGCTCTCTAGATCAGCCAGAGAGAGGCCAAGATCAAAGCAGAAGGGGAGAGGAGGGTTCCCTGGGGCCCTTCTTCTAAGAAGGCCATGCTCACATGGAGGCACCATCATGCTGTGACCTGACTGACAGGCTGAATCCAGCCCTACACTTTTACATATCTTCAAGTTGACATGAAATTATGTAACTACCACAAATTAGGATGGGCTATTCATGGAGAGGAGTCCCGGGGTGTGCAAATAGTTAATGCACTTGGCTGCTAACTGAAAGGTTGGTGGTTTGAGTCCAGGCAGAGGTACCTCAGATGGAAAGTGCCTTAAAAGAAAGGCCTGGCAGCCTCCTCCTAAGTCATATTGATTGCAGTTCATTCTGCTCTAACACACTTTCAAGCACCATGAATTGGAATCCACCTGATAGCTTTTATCGGTTTTCCCTTTATCCAGAGAAAGCTTTGCAACCTAAATTAGGTTTCATTTATAAGCATGGGCCACCATTTCCGTTTCCTTACCATTCTCTTCTCTGACCACTTACCCATAGGGAGCAGGAAGCACCTATTAATTTTTAGATTAGTCCAAACAAAACACAATTAAGAAGGTAAACAACTCCAGAAATAGTGCATAACCATTTCTGTAACTTCTATTCTCTTTTTCTCATCTTCTCTCTGCTAAGTTAGCAAAACCAAACCCCCCTTTTGTTCCAATTAAACATGGATAATTGAAGAATGCTTCACATACGAACATTTGCATTTGAAGCCATGATTTGAGGATCTTACCAAATTTACTCAACTGCATCTAAACATCGACCCTAAGTTGTGTCTTGATTTCAGCAAAGGAAAGAGCTTCCATCCATTGTATCTTCTCTAACTGTGGTGACAGTCTGCCAAGGTCCTGGCTCTTAGTAATAGAATGTCACTCGGATCTATTTCAGAGTTCCCTGAAAAGAAGAGGCAGTCGGGAAATGAATAAAGAAAAGAAAACCTTGAACCAGGTAAGCAGAAGTTTTATGTCTCTTACTCAGTTCTATGTTATAGGGTTGCTATGAGTCAGAATTGCCAGCACATCCAATGACAGTAAAAACATTTCATTTGAATGTTCTCAATTTTTTTTAGCTTTGCCTTTAAAACATTAAAAAAAAAAATTACCGCCCCAAAATCTGGATTCTGAAGTTTCAGCAAATGAAACTTTTCCTTCTAGATCCCTCTCTTTGGAAAGAGGGAAACAAAGCAGTTTTGTGTGAAACATAATGAAATCCAGCTCAAGGGTCTGCCAGGACTCACAACTGTAAAATGGTATGCTGACCCCACAGCCAGTCACACCGTCAAGTAACACGGATGTTCTAGCACTGGTCTTTGATAAGGTCTTGTTTTGAGTGTGGACTTCTTTCTAGTGAACATGAGAAGCAATATCTTACATTGTTTTTATTGAAAGTAAAACATTCCAACCAAAAGATGGTAAAATGTCAGCCTTTTCTTTGAACGCGCATTTATTCTTCAGAACTTTCCTTAGCCCTTTTGAAAAGTTGTCTTACTGGATTCCTTTCTTCCTTTTTTTGGTAAATTGCTGCTAGTATTAGGTGTTAGAGAGAACAGAGGCTTTATTGGGATATCAACTGACTGAACTCTCTAAGCAAGCAGTAATTATAGAGACGCTCGGTGTCCCTGCCCCGTTGTGAACTCCAAACGTAATGATTTCTTTAGGTTTCTCTGTTCTCCAAATTCACTGATCTCCCAGAGTGCCATTCCAAGAGGGCCAAACTTGTGTGATTAGCAGGCACGCCAAAGATTAACTTTTTCTTACATCCTCTCTACTAATACCAGGGACAATGAAATCTGTCATTCCACTGAAGGATGCTGAAACGGTCATCCTCAGAGAGCATATTGTCAACTTAATTTGTGTCAGCGCAGACCTATTCCGTTAAGAGTTTATGACTGCCCCATTGGGAAGTACTCAGTCTGGTGTTTTAGTCATCTGTTAGTGGGTCAAACAGGCTAAGACCAGGAGCCCTGCTCCTTCGGTGCTGGAAGTGCACCCTGGAGGGGAGGGTTTGAGTTGCTCTGCTCTGTCTGGCATTATTGAGAGGAGAAGTTTCTGTTCAGCAGAATGGTGGAGTGGAGCGCCTTGGGACCTGCAGGTCTACAACCAAAACTCAAAGGAAACTGGTGCCCCCACGCAAGGTAGGAACAAGAGCAGTCTGCCTGCCTAGGATGCTGCTTAGATAGCATACTTGCAAGCCAAAGAATATATACCTCCACTGATATATTTCTGTTGCTTGACAAGGCCTTTTCCAGTTGTTGGTGGTGATGGTGGTAGTCTTGTGTGTGTCTTTTCTTCCATACCATGTTTGCATTCTGTGCCTGCAAAAGCAAGGGGTTCATGTGGAACGTTGGACCCCACCTTCTGCTCTGATTCTGCATTCCAGGAGCTATCTGTTGATCTCTGAAACCAGAATTTGATATCCTAAAGCTGAAGATACAGCATGAGCTTCCCTTCCAGACCCTTCCCTTAGAGTCCTGGCAGAATTTTGAAAAGTTTATGATTACAAGATAAGTTGGGTATCTAGCAACCTACTATTTGAATAAGGCTGTGATTCTCTCATGTAGTTGAAGCAGTGGCTTTCCTCACTCAGCAGAGGTTAAGTACAACTTTCTTCCAGCCACACTTTCCTCGTGGCCACATCACAAGTGCCCCATGTCCTTCTGTCAGCCTTCTCCACTAGATGGACCAAGTCGGACCTTTCAAAGAGAAACACTCTCTGGGTTTCAAAAGTTATTTGTCTTTCAGAAACGGCTGTAGCCTTGATGGCACTAGTTGTGCACGTGGCTGCTGAAGTTTGCTTCAAATCTTTTGTTAGAATTCTTGGTGTTTGTGTCGGCTCTTTCTATAAGAAACAAGAAGCATTTTTAGATATGTGATCAACCCCTAGCTAATCTACAGATCAAGTCTTCTTTAGGGAATGTCATAGAATCTTCCTTCTGTAACTGCGACTTTAGGCAACCCTGCCAAAATGGGTTAAGGTTAAGTAGATTAGACTGATTTTCTGGTTTATAGAGCTACAGAGTAAGTAAGGTGAGTGTACAGGTTCTATGGAATATCTGTTGAAGGAGGAAGAGGATGAACATGTGTAATCTCCAGAGTGGGCAGAGCCCCTAGGAAGGCTCAGGTTCCACATACCTCTTAGAAATCACGCCTTGCCCTCATTTCTCAGTTTTTCTTGTGGGGCATACTGTCAGGAGAGATCACCTGAGACCCAAGACTCAAGAATTGATTTGAGTAGAAACTTTCCTAAAATATGTAGGTGACTTTGTCTCCTTTCCTTTTTTTTCTCACCATGGCTGTCACATGTTTACCGGCCTCTCCATTTGCCAATATCCCTGTAAATAGGGTCATAATGTGCACCATGATGCTAGGTTGGTCTATCCTGTCTGGAGGCCTAGGGGAATGATAGCTGTATCTAGAGAGGCAGCTATTTGTATCTGGTGCGACATCTCCTGTAGCTAGAGAACATTTTGGTCAGTGGCTCTTGCTGCCATCTGTAGACACAAAATTGAATTTCCATGCTTCAAATACGAAGATAGACTCGCTTAGAAGATTTTTAACAGCCAATAATGGCTATCATGTTCAGGCTGGGTCTGAAGACCTTTCTGCCTTCCCATCCCATGCATTTAACTCCCCAGTGAATTCATTTATAAAAGATGAAAAACTGTCCCTACTAATAAGTAGTCTAGCTTAATTTAATCTTTAAACTTTATTTGAAGAGCAGAAAACTGTGATTTTTTGGTGTCATTTCTTGTAATGTTTTAAAAGGCACTTTTGATTTTTCTGCTTGAGAACATTCTAGGAAGCTGGGGTTTAAAGGTAGCATGCCAATTTCTGTACAATGTATAGTAAGTAGAAAGTAAATATTTACTGAGTGAATGAATGAGCGCATATGCCAGCATGCCTTTCCTTTAGAGTTGGGATGAAACATGATTATTTGTTTTGGTCCACATATCCGATGTAGGCTCTTTTAAAGCAGCCCCTGGCCCTCATGGTTAGGACCGCAGCACATTTAGCTCTAGAGACTTTTGAATGAGGCCGACAGCCCTATTTCCAGTTAGTCACAGAAACTGCTTTCATGATTTGTTAACCAAAGCCAGACAGAATGCTAATGTGATAAATTCTTAGAACACGAAGACACTTGCTTGCCTGCCCGTGACCCTGATTTACTTTTCTCCTGAGACGCAAGGAGAGAAAAGTCAGAGTTACGGCTCCTTTTCCCAATATTAAGTATGTTTCGGGCCAAGAAAAAGTCCAGTCCAGGTGCGAGAGTATGATGATTTGACCACTTATAAGCCGCCTTAATGTACCTGTTTCCTTTGACCTTCCCAGCAACCTTGGTGCCATGGCATGCCTGCTCGAGGGACTTGCTCCATTGTTTGTGTCCGATTGCTCCTTGAGTCTCCTTTACCACCTTGTGTTTCCCTTTGTGGTGGTTTGGTGAGGGTTTCCATGAGGTGTTTGATGAGAGAGGAGAGGTCAAGACCGAGTGGAAGGTGGAAAGTTGGGAGGCTGTGAGGGAGTGCTTTTCAGCCCTCCTGCCAAATGATGGGTGTGTGGCAAGAACAGGCCAAAGGCTGGACTGTAGTGTGGATGTGTGAAAATGGCAGCAACTCTCTGAGATCAGTGGAGTCCACATGATCACCTAAAAGAATAAGCCCTCCCCTGGGTGGGTTGACTTGCTCTAGAGACTTGTTCATAGTGTGGAGAGCCCAGCTTGACACAACTTTTGCTTCCTGGGTCTGATGGTGTTTGAACAGTGCAGACTGCATTGTTAATGTGTTTCTCTGTCTGATGAGGGCACCTTTTAAAGTCTTTGTTCCCCGGGCAGCTTTTTGAAACTTCTGCCAGCCATCCAAGTAAGAATAGCATTGGGTTTTTTGCCTACTCGCTGAGTGTGAGTAATAAAATCTTTGTGGAAAACCAAAAATAGGGGTCACACAACTCAGAGCACTGGCACCTACACTGACCGGGAAAAGCTGACTTTCCATTCTGTTGTAGACACACCTCTTGGATCACAGCCGAGAGGCGTGAGCTTTTACCAGCAAAAGTTTGTGCTTCTGTGTCCTCCAGAATCCTCTGACTTCCGACCAGAACCACTTCTTAGATCAGACACTGAATCCCTCAATTTGGCGTTCTGAGCTCAGTTTCCTGCCGTTGTGCTTGGGACCATAACCACAATCTCAGAGGTCATGCTTGCCTGGCCAAATGTTGGGAGGCCCTAGCACTTAAGGTCAGGGCCTTCCATGCTGGGCCATCAGAGCTCTCTTCCTTCTAGCGCATGAATCTCATCTCATTGTTTGCCCTCTTTATGTTAAGTTGGGTATGGAGAGACTTGCCAAAGACGAGGTGAATTACCTTAGCCGTATTACTTCAATAAATCTGTGGAAAGCTGGGCTCTGATTTACGGTCACCTGACACTACCGTCCTAGACTACTTTGTGGGTGGCTAGGCAATTGGAATGAGGGCTCTTTGCATTGTGGACGAACTGAGTGGCCACAGATAAAACAGTGGTGGCTTTCCTATTTGTACCCACTTTCAGCCAAAGGTTCTTCGTGTCTATTGTTGCTGACAGTTCACCCACAAAGTAATTAGGATCCCCACATTATAGATGGGTGTTGGTATATCATTTAATATTCTTCTTCTTTTATAATTTGTGTAGTGGTGTTTATGTGCTTTTTTTTTCTAAACTAACTTTTTGTTTCATTTGTTTCCATGACAAAGCACAGAGCAGCACACATTGAGTACTCCACAACATCCCTTGCCTCTGTGCTTTGTCCTGATTCCTCTTACATGTAACTCAAGGTCACTGACAGTGGTGAGTGTGTGTGTGTGTGTGTGTGTGTGTGTGAGAGAGAGAGAGAGGGAGAGAGAGAGAGAGGTGTGAGGGAAATAATCAGAAACACTGACATGTGGTATTTTCAAATAATTTTCTCTTGGGCTGTGCTTTCCTGGCAGGATGACAGTGCTGATCTAAAGTGCCAGCTTCAGTTTGCCAAAGAGGAAGCCTCCCTGATGTGCAAAAAGATGGCCAAACTAGGGAGGGAAAAGGACGAATTGGAGCAAGAGCTCCAGAAGTACAAGTCCCTCTATGGTGATGTGGACAGTCCCCTCCCAACTGGGGAAGCAGGGGGGCCACCCAGCACCAGAGAGGCCGAGCTGAAACTGCGGCTCAAGTTGGTGGAGGAAGAAGCCAACATATTGGGCCGCAAGATTGTCGAGCTGGAGGTGGAGAACCGAGGCCTCAAAGCAGAGTTGGAAGACCTGAGGGGCCAATATGAGCGTGAGTGTGCAAGCAGGGACCACCCTCCAAGCATTCCTACCTCACCCTTCCCAGATTCTGCGGAGTCCTCATCAGAACTACGCCGACACCTCCAATTTGTGGAGGAGGAAGCAGAGCTGCTCAGGAGGTCCATTTCTGAGGTGGAGGACCACAACCGACAGTTGACCCATGAGCTAAGCAAGTTCAAGTTTGAGGCAAGGCCAGAGCCAGGATGGCTGGATGAGGGCACAGGCCATGATGGCAGCACAGGCCTCCCTCTGCAGGAGGAGCTCAAGTCCGCTCAACTGCAGATCAATGAGCTGAGTGGGAAGGTGCTGAAGCTGCAGTATGAGAACCGGGTGCTGCTGTCCAGCGTGCAGCGCTATGACTTGGCCGCACATCTTGGGCTACGTGTCCCAAGTCCCCGTGACAGTGATGCTGAGAGCTACATGGGCAAGAAGGAAAGTGATGGGGAAGAAGGCCAACTGGCCCAGCCCAAGAGGGAAGGCCCCATTGGTGGGGAGAGTGACTCGGAAGAGACCTTTGAGAAGACATCGGGCTTTGGAAGTGGGAAGCTGTCAGAGGCTAGCGAGCTATGTCCCACCTCACTCACACAGGCCCAAGAAGACTCCGAGTGCCTAGTGAACATAAAACAGGAGGCGGAGCAGCTTGGGCGCACAGTGGAGAGCCTCATCACTGACACCGACAGCCTGATCTGTGAGGCCAGTCTGCATGCCACAGAGCCTGGAGTCCCGAGTGGCTGGGAGGAGCCTGAGCTGCTGAGTACCATTAACTTCAAGATGAAGGTTTTTAGGAAGGAGCTTCAGGCCTTCTTGGAGCAGGTGAACCGGATCGGGGATGGCCTGAGGGAGCACTTGGAAGACCTGGCCCCCCTGCCCCATCTGACTGAGTCTTCCAGCTTCCTCTCTACCATGACCTCCATGTCCCGGGACTCCCCCATTGGGAACTTGGGAAAGGAGCTGGTTGCAGACTTGCAGGTAAGGGGGCTCCTCGGCTTGCCTCCCCGCTCTGCCCTGCTCTTCCTCCTGCTCGCTGGCATTGCTGCTCTCGAGCTTACTCTGCTCACAGCTGCTTGGTTTTGATTTCAGCCTTGTAATCAAGTCCCAGGTGTCGGCCAGAGCCTTCCTATCAGTTGGTTTCTTTTTTTCTTTTTCTTTTCAGTTTTCTTGTTTCTTTTGCCCTTTTTCTTTCTGTCTTCTTCAACTACACCACAGCCCTTGATCTGGAGGTCTTTCCTCATGATGCACGGCTAATCCCCACGGAAGCAATAGCAGTTGACTCAAGGTATTGTTGCTCCTTTTTGGTGCTTCAAACAACCTGGTGAAGAAGCAATGAGGAATTTAAAACAAAGTACAAGCTCATTTCACAGTCAGAATGATAAGCAGACTTGCCAATAAGCATTGGAACCCCTGCTTGGGTTTATTATCAAAAGAGATGAAGTACAGTGCTGGAGGGTCCTGGGCAGCCCAGGCCCACCTACCCCTGCTGGAGGATAAGCCAGAATGGGGGAGAGGAATGAAGCCTCCTGAGAGAAGGAGGGTTCTGATGGAAGAGCTTACTGACAGCCGTCTCCCGCTCCTGCCCTCTGTGCAATGAGGGAGGAGCGGAGAGGCTACAAGGACTGCCTTCTACACACCACTCTCCTGTGCATGACCCAGCGCCCACCTGGAGTTTGGCTTTTGCTGCTCGGCCCACGAGAAGGAAGGAGAGCCTTATTTCCATATCCTTCATGGGTAGTATGCTTATGATTGGTTTTCTGATTTCATTCCCCCCCCCCCCTTGCATGCGCCTCATAACCGGTGTTTCGCATCCCCCCACCCCCCGCCCCTTTTCTCCTTTCGCTTTTCAGATGTTTCAAGTTTTTGTTTTGCTCATTCTCATTTTGGTCTGGTCTCTTCACTCTCTCATGCCACTGCATTTAACTCATTTTGTCAGTTTATGCTTTTCTTTGTCTGGTAGTTTTTCAGTCGTCTACTTTACCCATTTTTGTTTCTTTTACCTTTCTTTATGCCTCCTCTTCCCACCCCTGCCTCTTTGTTTATGTTTAAAACAACAACAAATACCTCCCATGCACCTAACAGTCCAAATGGAGAGATCAGATGGAGTGGCAGCTCAGCCAGGACCATGGGGAGGAACAAGGGAAACTGTGCTTTCGACTACGCCCAGAGATGCACCGCAGGGCGGATGGGGATGCCAGTCGCTGCCGGCCTGCAGACCAGAGGTGCCTCAACTTAGAGGTGAGTGCCAGCCAACTCCACGGACCACACCTCTCTCCCACGGACCTGAGCTTCTCTGCTCTCTTGCTGTTTTGCTTCACAAAACCTTCACAAGACAGCAGTTCTGGTGGTGTTAGAGACTGTAATAGGAATATGTGGATGAGGGTGACATTGCCCACTGTATACAATCCCGTCCGTGTGGAAATGTAATTAGTAATAGAGGAATATTGGGTGAGCATTAAGTGGCTTTTTGCTAACTTGTAGGGAATTTGCTGTTGAAACCACCCACTTCTTTTCTGGGATTTTTATTTTCACTTGTTTCCCACTGTGTCTCAACTGATAGCAGTGGCCATAGGAAGGAGAGCCCCCTTCGACTCTTACAGCCTTGTTCAGTCTCCGTTGTCATAGTACTGCCATGCAGATAAAGCTCCCGGACACCACAGGGACCGCCATTGTTAGGAAACAGTTGTCCAGAGTCCTGTGAGTGAACGATCTTTTCACTTACTCTTAGTAATTCCACCCAGGACCCGAGGCAGATGCTCCTGGACCTCTAAGCCCACTGATGCTGGTAGCCGAGGCACCATTATTGGCAGTCTTAGAGCAACATCTCCTCAATTAGAGCAGGATGACAACTCCTTCAAGACACTGACAAAGATTCTAACTTAACAGCCCCTATGCGGATGATAGTCCTTTGTTCTAAGACATGATAGTGGCTGTGGAAGGGCAGAAGTACGGAAGATGTGGGTCTCTGGCAAATGAGAACAGAATAGAACCCACTAAGCAGAAAAAGAAAGCCCTGGAGTAGGGCAGCATTTGTGCCATTTGCTTAATTTGCGGCTGCCGATTGGTTAGAGAAGAAGTCCACGTCAGATTTGGGACAGTAGGGTTGTAGGGTTAATTTTTCTAGTTTTAGCGCTTTCCCTTCTTGCCCGATTAAAGGGTATGGCACATCTCTACCCTTGTGATTGGACATAAAATCACATTGAAACCACCTCCTCCAAAAGTTACATGGCGATGAGACACATTTTCAGAAACCTTTCAGGCTGTCCCACCGTACTGCTTTCCCCTGCTTTCCCCGTTGTAGGAAAGGACTGTGTGCGAGGCTGCAACTTCCTGCACAGCAAGTGCCTGTGGGCTTCTGGCACTGACACATTTCCTCCTCTTGGTTAGAGGTTTGAGCCGGTGGCCAGAGCAGCTCCTTAAACTCCCAGTGCTCGCTGTTCACTGGACCTCCTCTGGTCTGTCTCCACCAGGGGACTTCGCAGGGCCGACCAGAGCTTATGTTCACCACGTTGGTCCAAGGCAATCTGTTTTCTCTCTTCTTTGGAAGGCGGCAGTGAGAGATAATATTATGAGTGGAATGCAGTTTAAAATCATTACTATTCCTTGTAAAATAGATCAAACATATGACTATTCCTCATGGCGGCCACTCAAATAAGTCTGGTGCCTGTAGGGATGTTATAATATGTAGCTGTGAGGCCCGTTATCTAATTCTGTGTATGTCCTGCTCTAATTTCCCTGTATTGATTATCTATGTATTGCAAGAAGTGTTGATGACGGCTCCATTTTGCTGAGCTAGAAAAAATAATTCCAAAGCTGCTTTGCTCCCATCTTTCAGTAGCTTTTTATTTTTTGCTATTTATCCCATGTTGATTAATCAATTTTCCAAAGACTGTTCCAATCCAACCATAACTAAGGATTAAAATTCTCAAAAAAAATAATAAACCCCAACCTGAGTGTTGGATTAAAGGATTTCCTTCTTACTCTTGTTTTACAACAAGTAGTGCTATAGTTTCAAGTAGCTTATCATAACTTTGTTGCTACAATCCACCTAAATCTCAAGGAAAGGCATGGTACATAACTACAAAACATTTATCTTCCCTGAAAGTCAAATGAGGATATTATTTTAGGAGCTGGGTGTCACAGAAATAATCATTTAACCAGATTCCAACCGAGAGGAAAGTACAATGTGAGAGGTAGTCAGGTTGCTAAGGGGAGTCCATAATTTAACCATAATTGCACTAGGTAAAAGCTGGGGAAAGTTTTAAATGCAGGCACATGCAAATGAGAGTTTAAAATGGGTGTTCTTGTGGCACATTAAAAACTCTATTAGATTACCACCACCTGGCTGGATTATGACAGTCCATCAGAAGCATTCTTAATCTAAGTGACTATCACTCTAAACTGTAAAAAAGGTAACTAGATCGGTAATTAGCATAATATTAAAAGATGTACAAATCCTGCATGTGGGGGGATAGTCATGTTGCACGTGAGATGTTTCACCCATCAGAAGAGAGGCTGATTGGGGTTAATTCAGAAGGGCACCTAAATTCCAGTTTCAGTTCTCTGTCAGGTTTGGCCTCAAATCAGGCACATGGCCTTCTTTTGTTGAGAAAGCTGCACTTAGGATTTTATGCTCAGTAATTTTGCAGCATTTTAGACTTTTCACATGTATTTAGTCAGGCAAACATACCCTGCAGGATTAGGACAGAAAATGACAAGCAAGGATTATAACAACAGGTGGCACATGTATGAAAGCCTAATTGCCAGAGTCCCATGACTTTAGAGGATTTTAGAATATCCATGTTTCTGCCTACAGTAAGTGTTTCAACTTAAAAAATTTAAAGAAGTATTTCAGCTCCCATAATCTATAAGGAGTGAGTTTAGTGATAAATAAGCAAAGTTCTATTAAACTTCTTTCATTTGGGTACACCATTCCCTTACTACTTTATTAGAGAACTAGATACTCACCCTCATGAAGAGATCACTGAATATATGGGTGCTTTAGCAAAGTGCAGTGAAGAAACCAGATGAAGTCCCTCAATAAACAAACCAAACTCACTGCCATTGTGTCGTTCCTGACTCATAGTGACCCCCAGTGGGTTTCTGAGACTGCAGTTGTTTATGAGAGAAAGCCCAGTCTTTCTCCCATGGGGCTTCTGGTAGTTTCCAACTGCCAGCCATCTGGATCAAAGCCCAACATGTAACCACTACACCACCAGAGCTCCTCAGATGGTGCCCAGCAATCAAAAAGAATAGTGTCTGGGGTCTTAAAAGACTTGTTTTGTGATCCAAATTGGTGGTGAGGTGGGTGTGGGAGGCCTGGTAGGGCATGATCAAGGGGAATGTAACAAAGAGGAATTGCTGAAACCCTGGTG